ATAGTGCCGCCCACTCTGCTAAATTGATAGCTTCTAGTCAGGCAAAGACTATTATTTTGGATTATAAAGGAAAAGTTATTATTTTTACTTCTGAAATGTACATGTCATCATTTGCTACTTTTAACTATAATGCATTACTGGAAGCTGAGTAAATAATGCAATGTCTAGTAGAGTAGATTATATTTCTCTTTGGTACAAAGGCGAAGGCTTTACAACAAATAATCAATTCATTGGACTGGACCTATAATATAAATGGGAAAAAAAAGCAACTTTGGCTTAGTTTAGAGGAAATACTGCTGGATTTTGTGTCATTAAACCTGGTTTAGAGTTTTAATCCTGCTACTAACAGGCTACATATCACATTTCTAACCTTTCTGAATCCTGATTTTATCATCTTTAAGTGGAAATAACTGTCACATAGGTTTTTGTGAGATAGCAGTGACAGAACCAAGATAATAGCCTATATACGATCAGGTACATGGTGGAGGCACTTACTAAATGATTATTGAAGATAAGCCTGAATATTATGAGGGTGTAATGGTATGATGAATGGTTATTGTTATTTCAAGGGATAAATAGCATGTATGTCGGGAGCGCCTGGGTGGCTCAGTTGTTAAGCGTCTGCCTTCGGCTCAGGTCATGATCCCAGGGTCCTGGGATGGAGCCCCGCATCGGGCTCCCTGCTCTGCAGGAAGCTTGCTTCTCCCTCTCCCACTCCTCCTGCTTGTGTTCCCTCTCTCGCTGTGTCTCTCTCTGTCAAATAAATAAAATCTTAAAAAAAAAATAGCATGTATGTCGACTGTGCTCTTTAATTATATAAACAATGTATATCCTATATAAGCATATATATTTTGTGCTTATGTTAGCATATTACTAAATACAAATACAAACATAATGTAATGTAATCACCTTTGTGTACTCCTGGATCTCCTTAAGCAGGCCCCTCAATGTCTTTTAAGTTGAGGTATTGTTCAGAAATAGCTTAGCATAAGTGATCTCCAGATGCCTTTGAGATTCTATGTTTATGTAGCTTCCCTTTATTATTACTTTTAATTAATGATTAGTATGTTTTGTTATAATAATTTACAAAAGCCTAAGGAGGGCTTACATGATTCTTGTCTCTAAAAACAGCAGTGAATTTATTCATTTTAACCAAGAACTTGAGCAACTCAATAAATAGAGATAATATATATGATGGCAGGGAAGAAAAATATGTATGTAATAAGACTTGAAACCCTCCCTTTAGGGTGATTTCAGTATACCAAGAGGGAAAAAATATATATATCTATATCTGTATCTATCTATATATGATATGATATGAGAAGTGGGGGAGATATCTTTCTCTCCCTTATGTATATCTATATATACTATATAGATACATAGTAACTTTTATAGGGAGAGATATATAGAGATTTCCCCACTTCTCATATCATATCATACACACACACACACACACACACACACATATATAGAGAGAGTGAATATATTAGAAGAGATTCAAGATAGAAAAGCCAGTCATTGAGGCTTTGATGGCTGGTTGTAATGTAAGGGTCAAGTGAGGTCTCATTGAAAATGCAGGAAGGGAAAAATGAAGGGGGGGAAATCAGAGGGGGAGACGAACCATGAGAGACTGTGGACTCTGAGAAACAAACTGAGGGTTTTAGAGGGGAGGGGGGTGGGGGGACGGGTTAGCCTGGTGATGGGTATTAAGGAGGGCACGTACTGAATGGAGCACTGGGTGTTATACGCAAACAATGAATCATGGAACACTACATCAAAAACTAATGATGTAATGTATGGTGACTAACATAATAAAAAAAATGCAGAGAGTTAAAGAAATGGGAGAATCACATGGTTAGCTGTGGTTCTAGAGGAAACCGTCATAGCATGGGAACTTGGATATTCTAAGGTCGTAAAAGAGGCTGTTGGGCATCACTGAGGCCAGGGTGAGTTTGGGGATCGCTGAGAATATTCACAGGACTACGCTGGAGAGAACACTTTTGCCTGGTAGATCACTGTGATGGGAATGATACTTGGGCATGCTGGGAATTCCAGAAGTTGAGAGGTTGGTGAGTGGGATTGTAGAGGAATGTAGGTCCGCAAGGGACGAACTGGATAATGGTGGCCTTTCCTAAAGGAGAGTAAGACCAGAGAAGAAAATATGCCCTCCGTTAAAGAAAAGTTTGGAGAAGGTGGTATCGTGAGATGAATGGCAATTAAGATGGAAAGATGAAATAATGATGACTGAGAGAGAGAATCTCTTCATAAGAGAAGATGGGCTTTTGAAAGGCATGGAGTTAAAAGACGTGGGTGTGTGTGTGCACACACAAGGTAATTCAGAAGGAGGGTGGCCAAGGGCCTTGGCTGGTCTTGCAGAAGAGCTGAGAAATATAAATGGCAGAGAGGAAGGTGGTGGAAGGTTGAGGCCAACACTGGAGGGATAAGTTAGAGGAAGAGGAAGTGAGAGATGTACAGGTATAAAGAGTGCCTTCCAGTTAGAAAGATTGTATCAAATGATGTAATCATTGAAAAAAGGGCAGCCTGAAATTTGCATATGTAATGGGTTTTTGTTTGGTTCGCAGGGAAAAAGAATCTAGACTTGATTTAATGGATTTTTATCTTAAGACTTCTAAATATAAGCTGCATATATAAGCATTTGCTTATATGCTTAATGAAGAGAAAATACAATATAAGCATTTTGTCTTCATTATTATCCAGGAGAATGATCAGAGATCTTGGTGCAAAAATCATGGAATAGGTGGGTAAGGAAAGAGTTAACAAAAAGCTGAATGAATAAGGGGCGCCTGGGTGGCTCAGTTCTTAAGAGTCGGCCTTAGGGTCAGGTCATGATCCCAGGGGCCTGGAATAGAGGCCCAGGGATCGAACCCCAGGTCATTGGGCTCCCTGCTCCGCGGGAATTCTGCTTCTCCCTCTCCCACTCCCCCTGCTTGTGTTCCCTCTCTTGCTGTCTCTCTCTCTCTCTCTCTGTCAAAATAAATAAATAAAATCTTTAAAAAAAATGCTGAAGGAATAAAATACAGTAAAATCATAGTTGGGACTTTGTGTCCTTAGGTATATATGTATGCGTATACATACCCATACATGCATATATACTACATAGTACGCACAGATACATCATTTCAGATGTGGTGAAAAGAGATTACAGATACAGTGGATTTTAGGATTTAAAGTTACTAAAGTAGTAGAATGATCCTTTTATTATTTACTCTTTTAAAAAATACAAAGTGCTTCAGCCATGAAAAAATCATAGGAAACAATAAGATGATCACTAATGTACCCACCAAATTTAAAAGAAGTTGACATTTTGCATTTTTATTACATACACTAATTTTTTTTAAGGAATTTTATTTGAGGTTTTAACATGTATACATGTATTTCACATCAGCGGAATAATGGAGCTGGTTGTGATTGCTATTGCTAATTTTTCAGTAATTTTAGGAGCCAAACGATATTACATTGGTAATGGGAAAGTGGCCATAGTGGGAGTATTTACACCACAGAAATTGAAACATGATACAAATCAACACTTTATATTTTTGGTTAGGAACGAGTTGTTCAGCATTTTACCAGCACACTGCTGGTCTTAATTTGCATAAACTTTTACACTGTATTTTGTTGGATGGCCAAATCTCAGTCTATTCAGGAAAATTTGGATCTTTCCCATTGAACTGTTCTTATATTGAAATGATTCTGAGTTCAGCATTCTTGTACATTATCTCTTTGATCACATATGCAAAAGTGATTCATTCAGATGTAGAAACATAGAAGTGAACTTTTGGGTGCTAGGGTATATACATCTTCAGATTTACTAGATAGTAACAAATTATCTTCTAAAATGACTGTAATATTTTATACTTCCATTTGTAATTTTAGGGCTTTTGTTTCCCACATCTAGTAGTATGAGATGATCTTTAAGTAGTATGAAAGGATACCAGGATACTTAGCATTTCACCAACAAGAGTTGAGGTTGAGGATCATGACCGGTTCTTTCTCATAGTTATGACTTTTCTTTTGCCCTTTGTGCTGTCTTTGACATACAGACGTTTTAAAATTAAGGTTGAGGATTTCTTTTCATGGTTATTAGACATATACATTTTCTCTTTTTATAGCCTGTCCACTTTTTGATAGGGTTGTTTGTCTTTTTTCTTATTGAACTGTAGAAGATCTTTACATAACCTGGCTATTTATCTTTTGATGGATTATTTCCATGACAAATATCTTATCACAGTTCGTAGCTTTTCTTTTTCACTTTATTTATGATGTCTTTCAACATATAGAAGTTAATAAATTTTATTATAGTTGAATTTTTCAACCATTTCCTTTATAGCTTATACTTACTGGTCTTGTGTGAGGTACCCTGATGTCATAAATATGCTTTTCAGTATTTCATTTTGAAAGTTGACATATATGCTATTAACATTTAGGTCCTTTTGATTACTTCTCTTAAACGGTATAAATTGGCTGTCATTAATGCCAAAGAGATAAGTTTGCAAAGAGTACAGATTTTGGTTTGACTCTAAATTATCCATCAGTATTTTATTGTCATTCTGTGGCTGGTCACATGCTACACTTTTAGGATACAAAGGATGCATTGGGCATGGTCTTGGTCTTCTTATGGGGACAAACCTATTATATAGCACATGCTGTATAGAATAAGGGCTAAAAGAAGCTGGGAAAAGGAATTATGTGCCGTGGGGACATTAACTGTTCTGTTAATTCATATGCTCTGAGCCAGTAACAATTTTATGGAAAATAGTAGTAATGTATAATGTCAGTGCTATACCCCTAAAGAATACCAGTGTTTATTTCCATGCTTTTTTTGGGTTGAATGACAATGGAAAAGATTTGTGGGGCTACATAGACATTTTCCTCCTAATTTAGGAACAAGAATAATTTATTACAGATATCGGTTGCTAAGATGCTTTAGATTTATGGAAATGTTAAGAACCTGTTTTTTAAAGATTGGTTTCTGCTTGCAGAGACGAAATGGAGAAGATATACCAGTAGCCCAGACTAAGAATATCAATCACAGAAGATTTGCTGCTTCCTTTAGATTGCAGGAAGTGACAAAAACTGACCAGGATTTGTATCGCTGTGTAACGCAGTCAGAACGAGGCTCCGGTGTGTCCAATTTCGCTCAACTTATTGTAAGAGGTAAAGTTGCTTTCACTTCGTGAAATTGCTTGGCTTGGTTAGAACAAAGCAACCTTGTAGATATTTTGATTGATTTTTAAACCTGCTGCTCTTCATCGCAAGTCACTGAAAAATTATATCATATAAAGGTTCTGCTAATGTCTCAAAGTAAAATAAGACTGTTGTACACGTGTCGAACAAGGTTTCAACAAGTGTTTTCCATAGAAAGGAATGTATTTTAAAAAGCTCTAATAGGGCTAACCGTGTAGAACACTTTATTCCATTTTGCCACCATCTAGTTTTGCATTTTAATTTTAGACTTGCTTTTCCTGTTTAAAATAGCTCCACAGATACCACTTTTGTTCTTCAAAGCATTGTGGCCATGAGGTCAAGGTCAGAGTTTCTATCCCCATGGAGATCTGTAAAGGTTAACGGTATCAAAACCCAGTAGTGGTGGATGTTCACCAGTTCTGGCCCCCAGAGGATCTTAGAAAGTTAGACATGCTAAGTGGCCTTGCTATAGCTTAGCTTGAGAAGTACAAGTGCACAATGTGTGTTAAATTCATTCAAAATTTACTGGGTCCCTGATATTATGAAACATATACACCAAATATATACACTGTCCCAGTTTGTGGAGATAAAGTTGTAAATAAAATACAAAGTCCCTGACCACGTAGAGCTCAACACTGAGGTGTATTAGGCACACTATATAGAAAAATATTGAAAATGTATCAAATTATGATATGTGTTATGAAGAAACTGATTAATATTTTTGTTAGGGTGATCTGGAAGACCTCTTTGAGAGGGGGCAGGTGACCTGAAGCCTTAAAAATGAGGAATTGGGTGCCTGGGTGGCTGAGTCCGTTAATGATTTCTCTTTGGCTCAGGTCCTGATCCCAGGGTCCTGGGATCGAGTCCCACATTAAGCTCCCTGCTTGGCAGGGAGTCTGCTTCTCTGCCCCTCCCCTGGCTCATGTGCATTCTCTCTTGCTTGCTCACTCTCTTTCTCTCTCAAATAAATAAGATCTTTAAAAAAAAAATAAATGAGGGATCTATTTCCTATGTGAAAATTTAGAGGAAATACAGATCTGTTGAGTAGACTGTAGCATCAATCAATAATGACACAAATGAAAATAATTATAAACCACCTAAGTCTCCTCAATTTTAGGAGATCCTAACAAGAATGTCTAACCTGAACTGAGATTTATCTGAGACATCAAGACAAGGTCCTTGTGAGTGAGCTTTGTTTGAGATAGGATCTGAAGGTTGAGAACCGTTGTCCAGGTGAGGGATGTGGATGTGGGGGCAGGGATAAGAGAAATAAATGCCCGCAGAAGTGCCAGGCAGAGGACAGGGCACGTGTTAGGGCCCAGAGGCTGGAAGAACATGAGAGACATCCATATTCAAGTTAATCTATTTTAAATGCTTGACGTCAAATGTCTTTTACATACATTATTTCATTTTAAGATTTACTTGATTTTAATACTTTAACCTTTAATGCTTTAGAGAGAAGAAAATTGAAATTCAGACTATATGATAATTGCCCAGAGCCACAAAAATCTAATAATTGACGGAACCAGAATTTAACCCTGTGTTTCTTGACTCCTGAGGCTGGGCTCCTTCTTTTCCACCACAGCTTTGTCTCACATTATCATGATTAAATAATGCCACTAGCCGTTTGTAATGCTTTTTGTCTTGAGAGATCCTATAGATCATTTTTTTTTTAAAAAGTTTATCTTTGTAGATTGGATATGACTCTGTAATAATAAGACTTCTCTCATGTCTCCAGAGTCAGCTCATATCATCTGCTTAAGTTCATGAAAGCACAGTCCCAGTTAATTGAGTACTAAGAAAACAGGATAGTATTTTAACGTTCAGTGCTCAGGCAGGGTTCAGTCAGAGAGATGATTTTTATGTTTGTAGATGGTTGTATTCTCATCTCTCTTGAGCCTGTTCCTGCCTCTTTCTCACCTGCGCCTACTTTGGAAAGCCTGAAGATGTCCTTGGGTAGTCTTCAGAGTGATTAATATGCTCTGGATACCGGAAGTTGGGTGTGCTCTTGAGTCATCATGCTCACTGATGTGTATGGTACTCTGCATTTGATGTGCAGGCGCTTAAAGAGCTGGTGGCTTTTCATAGTGCAGTTAGAATGCTTTTGAATACCATACAGTTATTTATATGTGTGTCTGTCTGTCTGCGTGTGCGTATGTCGATGTGTATATATACGCATATATACATATATACACTTTTTTTGAGGAAGTGGTCTTGTGGTGTATTCAACAGTTTGCAGAAAGCAGAGTTGAAACTTTTATCCAGGTGCTCCCTTTGAAAGATACATTTCCTTTTCTCGTAGAGCTGTTTTATATTTGTGTATTTTAGTTTTGTTTTGGCATTACCAGATCTCTCTTGTTTATCTGAATCAAAAAGTAGATTTTATCATTTTATCAAAGCTTGGTTTTCTTTACCTGGAGACAGATGTATCATGGCTGCTCTGAGAGTGTTACTTGTGGAATAAGTATTTCAATAAGATGTATAAATAGAGAATCTTTGGATTTCATAGAGAAGTTTGACTTTTTTTCTTTTCCTTTTTTAGAGTTCTGCCATTTAGCCTACATTTTGTTTCAGATCTTATATGGTTGGGTTAAAATACGATGGTGCTTTAAATCTTGCTATCCAGAGTCTGCCAACAATTTAGAAACATATTTTGATCGTTTTAGCAGTTTTATTTTCTTTTCAGCATATTTAGGTTGTTATATATCTAATACTTACAGGTAATACTTTGCTTGTTGTTTTATTTTGAAAACGAATATAAAGGAATAAATTTTCTTGTTTGTCTAGATAACCACAAAATAAATATTCTTAACCAAACAACCCACCCTTTGGGGTCGGCTGTCCTGGTGTTAAAACAGTGCTGAGAATTAACTATGGTGACAGGTCCTGTCTCTCATTGGCACTTCTTAAAGCTGACATCCTGTTACATCGATACAAAAGATGGTAATTTTAAAGGAAATTTTTGGGGCAGTGATATGAATAGTCTTTAATAAGAGCTGGCATAGTATTGCCTTTTGTCAAAAATGACCCAAGGGTAAGAGTGTATTAGTGCATTTTCTCCTAAACTGAAAGTGACAGGGCATGCTTAAGGCTCTTTCACTACTGTCCGTTACAAATGAAAATTTCACTGCAAAATTCTCGTGTTGAAGAGTATTGATCTCTGTGTTCCCACAGCCAGAAGAAGAAAAAAAAAGGTATGCTGAAACAGAATTTACTTTGTCATGACTTTAGCATTGCTTCCAGATCATTTTGAGTAACGATAATGTCTTCAGCTTGTGGAAGCCAATCTTTATTGACAAAAAGGATGAGATGAAGAGCAGATGTTTCTGTTCTTTGCTTCTACAAAATTGAAGTGTAAAAAATGTGAAATACAGGTTGAAATGCGCTTACAAGCTGAAAGCTGGAAGCCCTGACTTTGTAGCCTCAGTTGTGGTATAGATTCTCATCCTTTACCTGATTTGCAGTCTTCTCCGTTCTTTCCCGCCTCTACAAATCAAGGGTCCACTTACATTCCTGACTAACTGACCCACAGTAAAGGTCTCTGAAATGTTCTGTCTGCTGCAACTGACACTCAATTTCTATTCCTATTTGTTAGTTATGCTTTTCTATCTATTTTTTTATCAGTGAAACTCCAGTTACATTTTAAGTTATTTAATGTGCAAAACACAGTTTTTGTTTGTCTCTCTTGGTTTGATTTTTAAATTTTAGCACCACCAACTGTCAGCCATCATCAAAATGCTGTGGACATAAAAAGTATTCAGTTAATATTTTCATCTATTCTCCGTGAATACTAGCGACCTCTAGCTGTAGAGTCAGTAGGGTGGATGTCTGTCCCCAGCTTTACTCTGCATAGTAGGTGGACCTGTAAAACAAATTTTGGTGTTTAAAATGATAAGGGGTTTGGATTGTTGTTGATACTTCCCTTTGTAAGACAATAAAACTTAGCTTAAAGATAAGGGTAGTCAGTAGACTTTGTACCTGGAAGGTACAGATGTAGGCTTTAGGGTTGGTTCATTTAGTCATGAAAAATCCAGGTTCTTTCCAGTTCTCTCTGCAGTCCATAGTTTTGTCTTCTATCCTAAACTAGGGTCTCCTCACAGTCATCAGATAGCAGGGTACTTACATACTTCTTTGGACTCATTCACTTGGGGATAGAGAAGTTACTACCTTCCACAAGTATCAAAAATAGTATGGTTGCATGTGGAGAGACAACTGGACTATCCAGTAAAGAACATTTGTACATGGGATTCCAGAGCACAAGCAGTGTTATTCAGAGAGAGTTATTAATTCTATTCAGGTAAGATAGGAACTGAGGAAGTATTTTAAAAGAATGTACAAGTTAATTCTGAAGGATGTACAGTTTGGAATTTTGTTGTACAGGAGAAAGGTGTTATCCTAGTCAGGAGAAGTGTGGAGTGGGTGAATTTGGTGAATGGCAAGCTGTTTGGTGAATGGCAAGCTGTTTACTGGAATCACTTGCCCAATACCAGTTACCCGCTACACCGGGCAAGAAGGAAAGAAGTCCAAACTAACACTGCGTTTGCATTTGGACTTTTCAAGTTCTCCTATCGGAATCATTTGTGATTTTTGTTCCATAAGAGCCTGTCTGGTTTGTCTTTGTTTGTTACAGCACCTGCCACAGTATTTTTGCAAAGATGATCGATACTTCTCTAACAATTAATAACTAAAATTGTTTAGTTAAAGTCAGAATGATGGGGCTGACCCTGAAAGATAATGGGAATAGATGATGAGCCATGGGCCACCTCACCTACACATGGGATGGAGATTTCTGGCAACTGTTTTTTGTAGTGTCTGAATCAGGCTGTCTTCTCCTGTCTTCTCCTACAAACTAGTAAGGGTGACTTTAAGTTTGGCATGATTTTTTTTTTCATTTATTTCATGAAGTTTCATTTCATTTATTTCATTTCATTTTTTTTCATTTAAAAAATAATTTTTATTTGACCAATGTG